TAAGCAGATATTCGTCTAAAAATTTTGGGAAGGAATCGCAATTATTATTTTTAGCTAGAAAATATTTTCTGATTTTGCATTTTGCGATGAAAGAATACACCGATATATCTTTATCCATGTATGTATGTAAAAATACATATTAAGTACTATAAAGTATTATTATTAAAATTGAATTAAAAACTTAATTATTTCACATTGTCACATTTGATTGTTAGTCAATTATTTCAAATATTATTTCTAGATAAGTTTTTAAAGTAAATTTAAAAAATTACAAATATTCTAATTACATGTAAATTCATAAAAAAAAAAAAAAAATATAATCGTTTCCCACACATGACGATCGCCATATTTCTAGGAATAAATGTTGACTAAATAGACAGAGATTTATATCTCCTAACTATACATGATATTTTTATAATATAGAATGATTCTCAAGATCCAAGAAACATAAGTAACATAATTGATCTAGAATATATTATTTTTCTTGTTATGATCCTCGTCACATTATCGCGAATAATAGGCGTGTAATCGATCCTTTGCAATATAAAGATACAGAAGACTTGAAACCAACGCTTTGGTTCAAGGCTGCATGGATCGTTTACTTTTCATCAAGGATGATCGATTGGATTCGCTAACGCCAACGGCACAAATGTAAACTAATTGGTCGGTTAGTAAATCACACTATGATTATCGTAATATCTGTCAAGATTACTTTATAGTAAGTCTATTATCTTCCATAATATTTTTTATTGTCCTGATCTCATTTTCCACAGTAAATTAGATCATAGTGCTAAGATTGAAGATTATTACGACGATATTAAAGTTACTGCAGTAGTAAATCATTCCAAAAAAATAAATTATTATAACTGATATATAATTTTAATAGGCTCCAATTTTAATGAAACTATAGATAGTTAAATATTAAACATTCTGTTTATATCAAGGTTATACCGATTTCAATTCTTATGTGATATTCATAAATCATATAGTTAAATAGTGTAATTCGAAAAGTAAGATAATTATATTATAAATGATATCAATTAAGCGATAAAATTTGGAAAGTAGGATAATTATTATGTTATCAATTATTATTCAGGTAAAAAAATTATGTATCGCTCTTTCGAAATCCCCCCATCGATTTTCCAATATTGTAAGAGGCTCTCGGAACGATTCTAAGGACGAAGATGTAACAAGGAAAAAAAAAAAGAGGACCTCCAACATAGAAGGAGAAAAAACACTTTGAGGGCACAACGGTCCGTGAATTCCTTGTAAGTGACGCAAGCACGAAGGCATTTCCGACTGGTTGCACTCTTCGACAGCCTCTTTGGAGAGAAATACCTACATAATCACGCACATAATGCTAGTATTGGTCCTCGAGGCACGGTTAGTTCCTCTTTTTATCTACATAATAACATCAAACTGTTTTCAATTAAATGGTGAATCGACTTTATTTACTTGATATGAAATTCGCATATCTTATTTCGAAGCTCTCACGCAATTCGGGAATCAATCATATTTAATGTAGACATAAATACACATTTTCATGTTTCTTTTATTTCCATCCCCGCATTCTGTAACTTTTGTCAATTTTAAAATGTCAATGTTAGATACTATTATATGTCCCATTATGTTTCCCCTTATCTCTGGCTCCAGATTTCTTAGGGACCTACTTTACTCCCGTATCTCCAGTCACGCGTGTCGACTTTATCTCCTTTGTCTGTTAGAAACGACGACATTCAACATGGGCTGATTACTCTTGGGAAATGCAATTTTAACGACTGCATTTATCATAATAAAATCATAATACAAATAAACAACTTAAACATACTTAAAATTCGAATCTGCCCTCAATTCTTAACTAAGATTGATGACGACATTTAATTAACATAATTTCATTTCAAATTCAAAGAAAATTTAATTTTTCATCACTTTCGCTTTTAATGGTTAAAAAGAGATTAATATTACATAAATAAAGAGTACTATAAAGAATTTAAAAAGTTTAAAGAGTAAACGAGAAAACGAGCTCAACTCTTTTCAAGTATTTTATAAAACAGTTCAATATTATAAAATTAAAGAGGCATTTAAAATTTACGATATACAATAGAATGATTTATTATACCGTATTGTAATTTCCGCTCGCGTCGCGTGTTTCAGCTTTAACTGTAATCCATTTGACGATGATATCCGAACAGGTCGGCTCTTTGTGTGTCCTTTGCGCCTTTGGAGTTTTTTTGTTGCCTCGTGTATGTCGCGAGCGCGGACAATAGTTCCACGAAATTGGATACGTTTATCCCACGCGTCATAACGCACTCTTTAAAAAAGGGGCCCACAGGGTTCTACGACCTCTCGAACTCGCGGGCGCATCGCCCCGAACAGCCGGGCCAGTTTATCATGCCATCATGCTCGAGAGAGAGAGAGCCCGCTTTGAATTATGGGCCCGCGGGCCCACACCGCGAGTCCCCCGGTCCCTTTTCACCTATTTTATTTTTTTTTTTTTTTACCCCCGCGAGTGTCACGGTGTGACATTCCTCTTCCCGAGATGCGGCCCGAGATCTCTCTCAAAGAATTCAGATCCTTATCTCTCCGTCAAGTATAACGCGCGCTCCCCCCCCCCGTGATGTATAAAGGGAAATCCATTAGAGAGCAAATAATGCCTGGTCGTTACTACGCGACGGATTATTATGTGGAAACGACCGCATTAGATATTCATTAGTAAATCGTCCGCCCGAGCAGGAAATGTGACGTTGGAAAATTTTAAATCCTACGTCACGATAGATGACAACAGAAAAATTGTGTAAAGTACCCGTGTCAAACTACGAATTGAAGATTAAAGATATTCGAAGAATTAAAATTCGATCGATCAAATCGAAAAGCGTTAAAGTTTTATCTCAGATCGAATTCTTATCTTCAGTTCGCAATTCTCAATCTTCAATTCGTAGTCCGACACAAACGTATCAACTGATGACTATTAATTAATTCTAATCGCTGGTTATTGCAAAAAAAAAAAAATCATTTTATTTATATAGGCAACATTAATTAAAATAATTTTACTAGATCGATTTTTCGATGTCTAAATAACGTAAGATTGATGAGCGATGTCAGAAATTATTTAAATAAAATATTGAATTTCGTGAGTCGCGGCTGTCGCGTCTGCATTCGAATTTCGCGATCATTTCGCGACGCGACAGACATAAATTGTGCGTAGTCGCGCGCATTTAAGAGACTTTCACGTTTTTCCTGAAAAACCTTTGAAATATCGTACATCTTAATGGCCGGCGAGTTTTATTTATTTTTATCTTATGCCGCTAATATATCCCCCTAACATCGCGAGTCGCGTGGTCTCGCGATATTAAAGCGGTACTCGTTCGTACTAGGAACGACGAGAGAAATAGCAGGCTCTCTTTCGGTTGACGTTATTATAAGCAGATATAATCCCGAGTGTATGACGCATGACCGCAGGCCCAATCCATAAACCGGTATATGTGTGCGTATACGCGCACCGTACGGTAATAATATTATTACGTTAATCGGCCGCGCCGCCGCCATCGCCGCCGTCTTCGTTGGCTTTCAGGTGAACCAAGGCGCAGTTAACAGACGTTATTATCGCGACGCGCTTAACACAGACGACGTCGTATTATCGACAACGTTAT